AATTGGAGCTATAGAAATAAACTGAATAGAATTGGTTGGGTTGCTGTAATGCCTTATACTAGATCAATCCTCTTTGCAGTTCATCTTTTAACAGGTAGCAAAAAACGAGAGCTCATATCTGCGGCTTCTCTTCACCGCTTCCTGTCTGTATTAGAATTGATTTCAAATGATTTTGTTGTTTTAATTGTTTTTAGCAGTTTGGCTCCTTCATATTTCTTTAAGAGTTAAACCGCAGTAAAAGATCAACCAACCAGCTTATCTTAGATATTCTTAGCTCCAGTTAAACTTTGAAATGTAATCAGGCCTTTGCAGTTTGCAGGGTTTTCCTTTTCATGTCCGCTTTGCTCAGATTGTTCAGACTTTTAAATCTTAAAACCCTTTTCTATTCTTTGGCATTTGATTTAACAGTTTGGATTTCTCTTATAAAGATTGTAATGAAATATAATTGTTTTAGTTTTAACTTTAAATAGTTTTATATTTGTTCTTGTTGCTGTTTTTATTCATTTTGCTGAACCGTGCAGCTATTTGGTCAACATGTTGTTTTTATATGCTAATAAAATAACTAATAAACTCAACATTGAGTGAATTTTCCAAAGTCAAAGACTTGGCTGGGTTTCATTAGATTATACATCTAACTTTTATAATCTCATTGAATTGTTTCTGTAAAATGCCTTGACATGACATGCATAGAAATAGATTGAACAGAGTTTTAATCCCTAACGATCAGGCCTCGTTAATCTGGAGGTGAATAATTCACCCAGTCATACGCCACGTTACTCTGCGTAGAATATTCCAGATTGTGTAATCTGTGATAGCTATGATTAAATCAAAGGTTTTATTATGAAAAGGACTTAGACCTCACAGGAAGCCTCACATTTTTTACCATTCCTGCTAAATAAAATGTTGTAATCTGTAATTTTCTGTACCTGCCTGAAATAAAGTTGATTATAGTCATAAAGAAGTTTGAATAAATGAGAAACGTCTGAACTGGTCTATAACTTTACTTGCAATTAAAGAGTAAAAATCCTCGGCTTATTGAGATTATTGAGAAGTTAAACAAGTCCAGAACTTTTTAAAGGGATTGTTTTACCTTTTTAACGTCCTACTTACACGGATATTGTTGATGGCGCTCACTAAGCACCATATGATTGAAACGCTACTATTTTCATTTGAAGTAACGATTTTTTTCCTAATGTCGGAGGTTAGATGTTATTGCAATAGAGCAGAGAACTGTGGCATTGAGGTGTCGTGTTAGTGTCTGGGAAATCATTAGTCTACCAACGTTTGGTGACTGAGGTAACAAAGGTTGCAAAGGATAATGATTTGTTTTAGTCCTCCACAAACAGTTTTAATTACAGTGGTGTCAATAGGGGACTCTTGGGTGGACACAGCGTGCACCAGAGGATTTACCAAAATGTTTTTCCAAACAAAAGAAAGAGAGAAAGAGGAGAAGGAGGAGAAACTGGAAGTGGGAGGGGGCACAAGCACAAGCGGCATGGCAACACATAGAAAGAGGAAGAAAAGAGTTACCCATATGAAGCCGCCGTTTCACCCGCTTGTCCACATCAGCTACTGACGTGGCATTGAACTCAGAGCTCTCAATTGCAGCCTCATCTTTCTCTAAAACACAAGTGACAAGGGGACAAACAGTGAGCAGCAGGTTAATGAGAAGCCCAAATGACCAGACCTGCAGCCCTAACTTTGCCGTTTGTGCATAAAAAAACAAAACAAAGCCAAGAAGCAAGAAGCGATGAAGAGGCACCAAATATCCCTGTTAGAGTGTTAATCCCCAAACATGATCCATCCCCTGCAGCAAATCAAAAACAACCAAACCAAATAAATAAAACTGATCAGAATCAGTTAATGAAGCAGTAGGCAACAAGGTCAACAGGCGAAGAAGAATGAAATGGAGCATAAACTCTGCAGCTGTCGGGTTTTTTAATCATGTCGGGGTTTAGATGTTCCAGGACACAGAGTTCATTTTTAGGGAATCATTTCTTCATTTTAACATGTAAGAAAAGGAAAACAAGACACGTTCAAGAGAAGCTGCTTCCAACAGACGAGACGGGCAAAGAAATGTGCACGATGATGCAAGGAGGAGCACAAGAACAGTGCATGAGGGGGCAATGAGCACAGAGGGGGGGTTCAAAGAGACGATAAGATGACTGGGATGGGGGTTAGAAGACACAGGGGCAGGAAGAAAGGAAGAAAGTCCTACTAGGACTTACGATGGGGGTGTGGTAAGGGGGGCGTATGATAGGCGGACGGCAGCACACTGAACATTTGGGATGGATTGCATGCAAAGAAGGTTTAGAAACGTAAAAGGGAAGAGAGGGTCGTCTGGGGGCAGTGCTGGTTGCCTGTTTGTCTATCGGTCAAATCATAACTGCTCTTAATAGTCAATGTTTTAAAAACCTCATTCCCAAAGATGAAGGAAGTGGAGGAAAAATGGCAACAATAGAAAACAGAGTGAGCAGACCGGCTGAAGCTAAAGTCCTGCATGTCCTGCATTGGATGAAGGTGGCGAGAGAAAGAACCAGTCTGGGCTTTAATCATTAGCATCAGCCTATCAATGGGGGCCACTTGCTCCCAGTAGAAAGGCCTTTGATGTCTTATGAAGTTGGGGAGGGGGGGAGGCCAGAATGGGAACAATTCATGTTCTTTCCATTCCTCTACCTTACTACCTTTTTCTCTAATGCCAGCCAAGGATTCTCTGAAGCGCTCTCAGCAATGAATGGAGGCTTTCTGCTCCTCAGCTAACTGGCTGAATGTTCAATCAAAAGCTACTGAATACCAGCTTTACAGGGTCTACTGGCTGGAGTGTGTGAAAAAGAAATGTGTCAGAGTAGGAGATAAAATATAAGCGTCTCTGTGTGTCTGCTGGTCCCAACAGTCTGTGGGACCAAAGGATGCCTGTAGGAACCCAGAAGGTAACTTGTTTTAGGGACCTACAGTGACTTAGAGTGGCTCAGGTTATCCTGATCTATCTCTATAGTTCTGCTGCTATAGGCTTAGACTGCTGGAGGACATAGGGACCCCTTTTTCATCATTCTGCTTCATTCTATCTCTATAGTTCTGCTGCTATAGGCTTAGACTGCTGGAGGACATAGGGACCCCTTTTTCATCATTCTGCTTCATTCTATCTCTATAGTTCTGCTGCTATAGGCTTAGACTGCTGGAGGACATAGGGACCCCTTTTTCGTCATTCTGCTTCATTCTATCTCTATTCTCCCACTCTGCAGAATCTGTTAGTTCAATCTCTAACGTTCTGCTCTCTCTGCTTTTTCTCATAGTAGCTTCATCTGGTCTTTTATAGACTCTAATCTTTGGACTAATTGATGTCTATTCTTTCTGATGTACTTGAGTTGTTAAAGACAAACGGTTTATATCAGTAGCTCCATTAGACTGATATTTGTGGACATGAATCAAACTGTATTTAATCCTTATTTCCTTTGCCGTATGCAGGATGAGGAGGAAGGAGGAGTAGAACCAGTCTACCTCTACAGCTAAGGGGGAAATGGTTCCAATGCAGTGAAACAAAACTACAACAATAAGCTTTGACCTCAGATATGCAGTTAATAAAAGGGTAAAATAAGGGAGAGAGAAACAGGGGAACAGATGCAGGAACTCTGGTTAACAAGGCAAAGCAACAACCAGGTTGATTAGTGAAGGAGGGAACCAAAAAACATGGCGTCACAAATAAGAATGGACACATGCAGTGACAGGTTCTGTTGGTTTCAGGGCTAGCGGTGGGCGGTTAGGGGCCCGGAGGCCATCTTGGTCGACACTTGTTAACCCCTCGGTTACTGCAGTTCCTGCTCAGGTTTTCAATGGTGATGGGAAATGAAGTGGACAGGGTGGGAAGACTGGTTTGATCAGGCTGCAATTGAGACGTCTGTTTAGCCCCACACAGGGCCCCCGATCCCCCCCCACCCCACAGCTACCATCTATGATTTAGTCCTTCCTTTAACCTGCATTGATTCTCACACAGATTTTCAGACAAGACAGGCAATCAGGAACTATCACCAGGAGAGAGGAAGAGGGACAGGGGGACAGGGGGACAGGAGGACAGAGTCCACATGTCGAAAAGGGTCAAATAAGGTTGAGGGTTCAAGGTGGGTCCAGAGAGGTGAGGGGTCTCTGGGACTACGGAGAGCCTCTTTAAAGGACAAAGACAGAGAACAGAGAGACACGATAGACAGAGACATTGGGAACCGGAGGACGAGTCTCTGCGTCTTTCCACACGCCAACCTTTTCTTGGCGAGATGATCCACGTAAAGAGGCTGAAAAAAAAGGGATTAGCAGCAGTCAAATCCCACCCAGCCGTGGGTTTCAGTGGGACATAAGGACAAAAGGACATAAGGACGAAGGGACGTCCTTTAGAGTTCCTGGAAACAGTCAGACAGTCAGGATACTTTAATGTGTCTCAGCTGCTTTGTCCAGAAAAGAGCAAATCGTTTGTCTGCGTTGAAAACAAATTAAGTATGGAGTGAATTTTGTTCCATTATTGTTGTAAAGGAAATGTAAATGTAAAAAAGAAAAACACACAGTTTCTACATTAAATAAAATGTAAAACATTCTATCAGCTAACATTCATTACATTTGAGAAAGAAAACAGCAAATTAACTCAAACAATCTTTTCATGAATAAAATGTTTTTAAACATTTCTGGAATGTATTTTTATCAGACTTCAATTCACAAAATGTGCTTTTTGCTCTCAAACAATAATGGAGCACAATTCTCCCCATAATCACTTAGATTACAGTTAAAGCTGATATATCAGATGCCTTTATTCTAACTTCCTGTTTTGGTCAAAGAGGATCCAGTCTATTGTTTACTGTTAATTAACGTAACTCTACAACCAGTCAGTCATTTTATCCTTTAGCCATTATTAACTCTGACAAATTTTATTTTATTGTCACTTTTAACAATCTTCCTTAAATATGTCTAAACTTTTTTTATGTGATGCTGTTTAAATTAAATTGTGTAAAAATAAATTGTTTTATAGCTTTTTTTTTGTAATAAAACCCCTAATAGATTCTACTGTATGTGTAAGTTAAGGTTTTAACATAATTATGATGAAATGATGAAGATATTGTTCAGATTTCAGCTCATTCAGGTCGTGTTATTTCGTCTCTAAATCTGCTTTTGCTCACCTTGAAACGAGCCAGGTTTGATTTCCTGTTAGCTTCTGCTAACAGTGTTAGCTTCTGCTAACAGTGTTAGCCCTAGCTAATAACATTAAACAGTAGATCACTTCAGTTAGTTTGAACGATAACTCGTGTAAAACGGCTCAGGAAAACTTTGAGGAAGAGACGCAGTTTGGCTTCGTCTAAATTTACAAACAAAATACGATAAAAAACAACTCTGCTAATGTTAGCCTTCCTGCGTTAGCCCAGGAAGCGCTAACATTAGCATCATCAACCCAGCATGCATCGCACAGGTGAAACAAAAAAAAAGATACATTATTTTTCAAGTAGCACAAACAGCAGTTTTAGAGTTAATAGTTGCAGCTTATTTTACTTTAAATGAAAGTCTTTGGCTTCAACGCTGAAAAAAATAACCGCTTTTTGCATTTATTTAATTATATTTAGTTACTTTAACACAATTGTTTTTTGTCCTACCCTGCTAACATGTAACAATCATGTTAAACTAAACATAATTTAGCAAATTCCAAAAACGGTTTAATTTCTTTTTTCAGTGAACATGAGGTAAATGTGACCCATTCTGGCATTTCTAGAGTTAAAAACTTTGGATATTTTGACAGAAAATCTAATAAAAAAGAGAATAAATAATTAAGAACAATTATGGTCAAATGTTTCTCTCATATTTATGTATGTAAACATAAAAGGTTCTCAGTTTTATTAGCTTCTAAAAATCAAACAATTCTTTCCTCATTTTCACAGCGTACTTATTTAATAAATACAAATAAAACCAAAAAGTTCTTTGTAAGAAAACAACTGAGCATATTTGTCTGATTGAATAAATCTAAAAGCTCTTGGTCAACATTAATTAGCATTAGCGTAATAAAAAAAGAGAAGAGCTTTAAAAGTTTGATGGGAAGAAATAAGAGAAGCAAAAAAGAATGTGAGATAAACATTAATATGGTTTTAAGTTTCTATAAGTCAAATATTTAACCTGATTTAACGACAGATTAAATAGAAACTTTGCTAATTTAGTATTGACCCATCTTTAGAAATAAACTTTTCACTTTTAAATGAGCTTTAATCACCAAAGTTTGTCACATAAACAAAGAGTTTTCCCTCAATGTAGTAAAAATGATGTTAGAGAGAAACAAACATTTCTCCTGTCAGGAAATAAATAAGTTTGATCAGATTTACAGCCTGTGGGAAAGAAACTCTGTTTTTCTAAAAATGTCTGGTAGAGCCGACCTGAAGGGAAATGATGAATGTTTATAGCAGCGATAGGAACTCTGAAAGCCTGCAGGTGTGTTTTTTAGCAGAACAATGCTGCAGCTATCGATGCAAGAATAACTGACATCTTATCTAATCCAGAATATAGATTCGTAGAGTCCAGAGGCTGGAGGCGCTACCAGGAGACAGGCCAGGAAACCAGGAGACATGGAGGAGGCTGTGGGACAACAACCCAACAGCAGGACCGCTACCTCAGCCTTTGTGAAGGAGGAACAGGAGGAGCATCATTTAGCCCTGCTGAATGACCTCCAGCAGGCCGCAGATGTGGATCTATCTGCACAGACGGTTAGAAACCGACTCCATGAGGATGGTATGAGGGCCTGATGTCAAATGATGGAGGTTGAGCTCACAGAGCAACGCCATGCAGGACGCTTGGCCAGAGAAGACCAGGATTGGCAAGCATGGCTGCCATTAGGTACCCAGATGAGATCCTCAGACCCCTGTTGAGACCTTCTGCTGGTTCGGTTGGTCCTGGGTTCCTCCTAATGCAGGACTAAGCTGGACCTCATGAGGCTGGAGTGGATCAGCAGGTCCTGCAGGATGAAGGCATTGAAGCTATGGACTAACCCTAGATTTATCTCGCTGTAATCTTGGATTTAATCTAGATTAATCTAGATTAAAATGGCTCCATTGAATTCTGCCAAAGGGATGCATGAATCAGAATGACTTAATGAATCCTTCGTGGACGGGGGTAACTGTCAGTCCACATTCTCTCCCGGTCGCTCATTCTCTGCTGTGCTGAAACTCCTGGGAGATCAAAGTTCCTCCAAACCGTCTGTTGAACTGGAGTTTTAGCAGCTAGCTGCATAAATTATACACCCTCTATGGAATCTGGGTCTGGATTAGGGAGATAATATTCCTCATGTCGCCACCTAAGGGTGGGTTCTGCTCCACCTCATCACTTTCTAAGCTCTTTATTTTAGCAGTTGATGCTGCAAGATCAGCTTCCAGCTCACTTTGCTCCATCTTGTATTTCTTTCAAGGCAGCAACTGGTTGCAGTGCAGCAGCCTGTTCTGCTTTGGCCTTTTAAACTCTGAGACTGAGGAAGATCTGGATGTTGATGATCTAGTGGAAGCAGATGACTTAGATCAGATGATCCATGTTTCAGCATCTTTCAGGAAATAATTCAGGTTTGAGGCTCAAACCAGTCATCATATAATTTACCTTTTCTTTCTCTGATAAGACTAGAATAACCAACTGATGAGCATTTTAAACTCATCCATGTCTTCCTGCAATTCTTTCACTGACTGACTGACTGCATCAACATTTCCTGCATCCGTCATCAAAGCTTTTATTTGATTAATTTTTCCAGTGCGCGTTTCCAATCAGCCTCCAAAGGATGCAAACTTTTAACATGTTTTCAGAGGGAGGCGGAGCTTCAGGGTCAGACATCATCAATGATCAACCAGATTCCTTCACCTTCCAATAACAAACATCCTTCTGTCCCTCAATCCGTTTCTAAAACCAACAGCTTTGCTTTCTGTAGCGATGGACTGTTTCTCTGCAGCACAGAGGATAAACTGGATCAGCTGGTTTTACTCGCTGGCTGCCTGTTTGTCTGGTTGATCGGCTGGATCCACCATCCACTCCTCCAGCCATCAGTGACGTTTCTCTGCTTGTTATGGCGAATCTAACCACCTGATAAGTTCCCAATCATCTAAAAATGCCAGAGTAGTTTTTAGGAGGTTTTTAACGCACTCTAAAATAAAAAGTTTTCTGGTTTCAGAAGGTTTTTTTTCTTTACTTATAAAATAACAGAAATTATCTCTAAGTTGAATTACAAAACATTTAACTAAACTCATCAATTGGTGACAGAAAAAGTTTCACTCCTTCACCAACCAATCAGATCAACCACAGCAAGTATGAAATTACTAAAATATGTCATTTTATTTTAAATTACTCTCACACCTATTTCTAGATTTTTTATTCAAATTTCAATTTCCAAAATGTGGCAGCAACAAAAATGAAACAAATTAGCCTCCATAGAGGCCATCGTTTATAGAAAGGTCATCAAGAAGCAGCTGAAACTTTAAACTGAATTTAACAAAAGCTTTGATGCAAAGTTTCTAATGAGAAAAATTATTTAAAGGGTCAAATGTTTTTAATGAATTTATTCTTTCTCCAACTTGTTGCTCATCACCTTTTCAGAGGATCTCAGTAAACTCTGCTGCTGACATCAGTTAGCAGCAAGCAGTAGAGCAGCGTGCTGCTAACTTAACAACATAATTATTCAATCAAAATCAACTACATGAAAGTTCAGGTTTAAAGTTGAAACATCATCAAAATAATAAAACAAACATCCCAGCAGTTTGGGGAGAAAATGTCACTAAAATGATTTATGTCGGTAGCCTGATAATCCAGACTAAATGTGAGATTAAATGTTTAATCTAGTCTGGCCCCGATGAATGAGACATTGGAAGATTGATGATAAGAACAACCTGTTGTTTTTCAAACCATGTCTGTGCCTATTGGCCAACGCTCTGACCAATGAGGAGCTGACTGTGACGTAGGAAGCGCCACAGGAAGCTGGTGGGGGGGTGGAAACAAACAGCCTGTCGGTAAAACGTTGAATACGTCCTTCTTTAAAATGAATGAGTGTAGAGCCTCTTCCTGCTCACGTTTCAACTAAAACCCAAAGTCTGATCCTTCCAGAACTGATTCCAAAGCTGAGTGAAAACTCGCCATCAGAACCAGCGGTCCGTCACACACGGCTAAGCCAAGAGAGGGCCGCTGCAGATGGGCTTACGCTAGCCCTGGCCGCCGTTAGCCTCGGAGCTCCGCTGGTTGCCGCGGTCCTCTCAACTTCGGGAATTGTTTTTTTTATTGTGCATTAAATCAGTAAATGGACGATATAGTGACGCTTTGAAGTATAATATTCTCGCCTCCAATGATCTGAAAACGTCCTTTTATTGAACAACAGCAACAGAAAGAGAACTTTTAACTTTCAAAGGAGCGCTCCATTGAAAGCTGCTGCTGCCGCCGTGCATCATGCTACTGTTGTGCTTCTACTGCGTATCGCAGCTTTGTCATTCAAAACACATCTCTGCGTTGTGATTGGCCCGCCAGTTCTAGAGCCCGGGGCATTGATCGAGGCTAGTCCACTCGCAGGCAAACGTGATCCTGGCCGCTGGTGGGCGGGGCTAGTTTACTGGGCTAGAATGTCGGTGATTCCTGCAGCTCAGGTTGATGAATAAATCTATGAGCATCAGAAAGTTCAGCAGAAAAAAGTCTGTCCAGAATTTTTTTACACTTTGATCGCAGTCAGTTAAAAATGAAAACAGATATTCAGAGTTTATTGTTGGTTCTGTGGTTTAGCCGTTAGCGCTGCCACTTACCGATGCAGGTCTTGCTGTCTGAATGCAGGGCGTACTTTTGGTGGCAGCCACAAACCGGCCCCGTGTCCGTGTCTTCACAAGTGTGCTGGCATCCGCCGTTTCCATAGTTACACGTCACTATAGAAACAGCAAATGAAAATGTTACTTTCTAACGTATCTTAAAATCTAAAGTTTAGGTTAATTTGTGAAAATGGTCTTTACTGGTCACATCTATCGACACGTTATCCTAAATAACTTTAAACTCACCCAGCACGTCTCATTTAATGAGAATATAAAGAAATCAATAAAAGGTTAATTTTCCCAACAAGAGCTTTGAGATTTTTTTATTTTTGTGACAAAAAAGTTAAAGATCTACTTTTTATTGGTGATAATAATAAATAATGCAAAGAAGAAGAAAGAAAAGCAGTTTTTATGTTTGGAGACGGAGCTTCGAAGAGTTTAATAAGCAGTTTTTGTTGAAGTGAACTCCTGCCTTTAGATGGCATCATCGCTTAGCTCAGGCTTTGTTCACAGACTGTCTATGAGAGGAGCTATGAAGCCAAATAAAGTGCAATTAAAAGCTGCCTTTTTCCCCTCAGTGTGAGCAGCAGTGCATTCCATGGCTGCACTCGCTGAATGAGCCGCGAGGAAAAGCAAGTCAGCTGTAAAGAGCCACCAATTCCCACTCCTGAATCCTTCAGCACCTTCGCTTTCAGTTGATATGCTCTGATGGTTTTGGAATAAAATCTCCACCATATTTTACCACTGAAGGTCTTTTGGAAGCTGTTCTGTTACTAATGTTTATTACAGGAAGACCTCAATATTCTCCACCATTACGCCAAAGCTAAGAAAACAAGCTCATAGAGAAAGAGTCTGAATGCTTTGGGAGCTGGAAGCAAAATGGAGCTTCAGCTGAATGATTGATTCTTTAGGGATCTTTGCTTATTTTCTCTTTTTTTCCAAGTATTCGTCTCACTGGCCACGTTAACAGTTCCAGCAGGATACC